TTTTATTTTATCTGTTGATTAGGGCCGGAGGAAAGTATTGTTAGGTTGGTTTCCTACCTGCGTGTTCCCTCCCACCCACCCTTTGCATGCATTTTCCGGGTTGGTACAGTGACATGTCAACAGTACCACATCAACAATGACACGTCAGACACAGTGCCACGTCAGCAGTGCCACGTAAGCAGTGCCACGTAAGCAGTGCCACGTCAGCAGTGCCACGTCAGACACAGTGCCACGTCAGCAGTGCCACATCAGCAGTGCCACGTCAGCAGTGCCACGTCAGCAGTGCCACGTCATCAGTGCCACGTCAGCAGTGCCACGTCAGCAGTGCCACGTCAGACACAGTGCCACGTCAGACACAGTGCCACGTCAGCAGTGCCCCGCCACCATGACGGGCGCAGCTCTGGGCATGCCAGACCAACTGGCCAACGAGACCATCGCCGACTACAAAAAGCGTTTCCAGGCTCAGCTCGCTGCAATCGAGGTTGAGGAACAACGCCAGCTGGCAGCCAAGGCTGCCCAGCTACAGGCTGAAGAGGCGGCAACAGCAGAGAAGCTGCGGCTACAGGCCGAAGCAGACGCAGATACCCAGGCTCGCCGAAAGGAAGCCCATGATCTGCTGCTGCGGCACGAAGCCAACAGCATCGACAAACTCAAGTACTGGCACTTTGAACCGAACGGCGACGAGCCAACACCGGAAGAGCAGCATAAGGAGTTTTTGGCCAAGCTCGTGGCCAGGCTGGTTTACACATGTAACCCACCTGCAGTACGAGCTGGCAAACCTTCAGCGGGCTGTGCAGAACCATAAGACTCAGCATGAGGATGCCACACGGGCACTGGACGCCCGTGTACTGGACCTGGAACAGGCTGTACCAGGACCAGGTGCTGGGGCTTCCAGCAGTGCATCCTCTAGCCGCCAACTGGAGGAACGCGTTGACCACGTAGTGGCAATGCTAGGAGACATAAGTGCCTTCACAGAGCCGGCCACCATCAGCCAGCGGTTCGAGTTGCTGGACACCAAGATCAGTCGGCAACAGCAGACCGACCACAGCCACAACAACAGCTCGGCGAGGCCATACAAGATGCCGACGTTCCGGATCGAGAAATTTGATGACTACACACATCAAGACCCGGTCGTCTGGTGGCAAGGATTTACAACGRAGTTGGGGATYCAYGAGGTCCCTGACCATCTGTTCATCAGTGCTYTGTTCATCAACACCAAGGGAGGATGTCAGATCTGGCTCARCCACATGGCAACCATCCACGGCGTCCAGGTTTCAGACCTGCWCAAGAAGGTCACCTGGGAGGATATGACAAAGGAATGGAAGAAGCGGTTCATAGTGGATGACGCACCCACGCTCGCCATCAACCGCATCTTCGCGATGGCTCAAGGGAGCACACCGACACGTGACTGGCTCACGGATTGGCAGAAGATCGTGGCCACGCCCGATCTGGACTTGCCATTTCCGCATCTACGCCGTGAGTTCTACAACAGGTCATGCGCCGCTCTCAGCCTCGCACTGGGTGATCGCGAGCAGTACAACACTTTCGCAGAGATCATCAACAAGGCGAGAGAGATCATCAAGACCAACAGGGCGGCCGCACACGAGAAGTCAACGTGGCAGCCAACCTATGTGGAGAAGGTACGAACTGGTCCGCGAAAGCAGCAGTTCGCTGCAGTCCAATCGGACAGTGGAGAAGACCCAACAGCCACTCCAGCATCACGTGAGGGAGATCAGGTGGTTGTTGTCCAACCGCGAAGCAACAAGCCCCGAGTGAACGGGAAGGCGAAACCAGCATCGCAGGCCGGAAACGGGCAGCCAGCACCACCATGGGTCAAGTTCGGCTTGACTGAGGCCGAGTACAAGTACCGCAACTGTTACGGCTGCTGTTACTGGTGCAACAGCACCAAGCACAAGACCTCCATTTGCCAAGATCAGGCCAAGGAGGATGTGCGGCCTCGTCTTAACTCGGGAAACTGAGTTGCGCAGGAGGTGAGGCGACTCCACCCCTCACTCCGCCAGATTCGGCCGCCTTGCTAGCGGCCTCCTACACATCTGGGGAGGATGCGCATGTCGCAAGTCCTCCGTACACTTACGAGGATTATGTTGTCCACTTGGTCCCACCGCTGGACCAACCGCTCCACGTGCAACAATCTACCGCATGCACGGTTTCATCACCATCGACAACCGATTCGGCAGCTTCACCGCTATCTATCGCCGAGGATTCATCATCATGGTCAAGACTTGAGGTGCTCGACCCACTGACGTTCACGGACTTCCAGTGGATGCCCGTTCCCCCGACCGGACGATTGCCGAAACCGCATTGCAATGTGATCATGACACAACTGCGAGATTACTTGCACACTGCAGTACCAACGCCGTTGATGGACGTCGGAGTAGAGGTTGTCGACCTTCACGCTTACATTGTGAAGATCGACCGAGAGTTCAAGACGCAACGGTACGACGACATCGACACACCAATCGCAGAGGCGACCTGCAACGCCTTGATCGATTGTGGAGCATCTCGCAACTACATCAGCCAGGACTTCATGGTGCGCGTCGGCCTTGGCCCACGTGTTCGGAGGAAGTTCCAACCTACGCAAGTCACTTTGGCAGACGGTCATACGCACAAGTCCATCGACCGGTGCATTGACGCCGTCCCCGTGTACTTTGTCCCTCACGCAAGTAAGGCGGTGTCCTTTGATATCATGGACACCAAATTTGACATAATCTTGGGCATGTCATGGCTGCGAAGCGAGGATCACCCGGTGAACTTCTTCCACCGCACCGTTCACATTCGCGATCGGAACGGAGTATTAGTTTCATGCACGGTACCTCTTCCTCATCCTTCGATCAGCTGCCACGTGGTATTTGCCGCAAGCATGCGAGCATCCATCATCAGAGACGACATCGAGGAGATGGGGGTGTGTTTTCTCCACGCCCTCTCGCCCCGAGACGCTTCATCGACGGACTCATCTTCGGATCCACGCATCACCGAATTTCTCGAAGCCTACAGCGACGTGTTCAAAGGCCCGCACGGAGTAGTACCGGATCGGCCCATCCACCACGAGATCATCCTCAAGGACGGGGCCGTACCTCCGCGCGGCTGCATCTACCGAATGAGCGAGGAAGAATTAAGTGTGCTCCGTGCACAACTCGACGATCTTCTAGAGAAAGGCTGAATTCGGCCTTGCTCATCGCCATACGGTGCTCATGTCCTCTTTGTCCGGAAGAAGAACAAGGACCTCCGGTTGTGCATCGATTATCGCAAGCTCAACGCGCAGACGATCAGGAACGCCGACCCTTTCCCACGCATCGACGACCTTCTCAAGCGATTGGGCGGCGCCCAGTTCTTCTCTAAGCTGGATCTCAAGTCAGGGTACCACCAACTCGAGATTCGCAAGGAGGATTGCTACAAGACCGCGTTYAAGACACGGTATGGGCATTTCGAATGGCTGGTCATGCCGTTTGGCCTTACGAATGCCCCAACCACTTTCCAAGCGGCTATGACAACGGAGTTCCGACACATGCTGGATCGGTTTGTACTCATCTACCTCGACGACATCTTGGTGTATAGTCGAAGTTTGGACGAGCATGTGGAACACCTGCGCACCGTTTTGGAGCGGCTACGACAAGCCAAGTACAAAGCAAGCCGCGACAAGTGCGAGTTCGCACAGCAGGAGCTGGAATACTTGGGACAATATGTAACGCCTCAAGACATCCGTCCACTTGCGGACAAGATCGAGGCCCTACGAGTATGGCCCGAGCCCACCAACACCACGGACGTTCGTTCATTCATAGGATTGGCGGGCTACTATCAACGATTCATCACCGGATACTCCAGGATTGCTGCACCTATGAAGAGGTTACAGTCGCCAAAGGTGCCATTCGTATTCGATGACGCCGCACGCCAGTCATTCCAAGCACTTAAGACGGCTATGCTCATGGCACCCGTCCTTAGCATCTATGACCCCACCCTGCCGACGCGAGTGACTACGGACACTTCCGGCTATGGCATTGGGGCAGTCTTGGAACAGCACGACGACGATGACTGACACCCTGTGGAGTATTTCAGCCACAAAGTGCCTCCCATCAACTCGCTTGATGATGCAAGGAAGAAAGAGCTGCTCGCATTCGTGATGACTCTCAAGCGATGGAAGCACTTCCTCCTTGGGCGTCGTAGGTTCACATGGGTCACGGACAACAATCCATTGACTTACTACAAGACGGAGGATACGGTGAGCAGCACGATCGGCGATTGATGTACTTCATTGACCAATTTGACTTCACACCGAAACATCTTTCCCGGCCTTTCAAATCGCGCAACAGATGCACTCTCGCGAAGACCCGATCTTTGCGCTGTGACACATCATGCCTTCGCATTCGACGAGGAGCTTCAGCGACACTTCATCCGGGCATATCAGTCTGATCCGGGCGTCGGCATGCTCTATGCACAACTATCTTCGCATCACCCGCCGGCCAGCCATTACCGCATTGCCGACGGGTACTTGCTCCTCCACTTGAGAGGCAAGGACTTACTATGTGTCCCACGCGACCGTCGTCTTCGGACTCGCCTCCTTGGCGAGTATCATGATTCACGACTCGCCAGCCATTTCGGAGTCAACCGCACTATTGCACGGCTTCGACAGTGATTCCGATGGCCCGACCTCATTACCGATGTCACTCGGTATTGCAACTCTTGCGAAGTTTGCCAACGCAGCAAGCCCCGCAACCGCAATCCCTACGGCGAGTTACACCCGATGCCTATCCCATGGGAACCTGGTCTCTCCATTGCCATGGACGTCACTGGTCCGTTTCCTCGCGACCGGCTCGGGCACGACGACATCCTCACGGTTGTGGACCGATTGAGTAAGTACGCGCGTTTTCTGCCTTGCAAGTACTACTCCACGGCTCCCGAGCTGGCACACTGGTTGGATTTGTGGCCACGGTGTACCAGAAGACATTGTCAGCGACCGCGACACTCGTTTCATGTCGGCATTTTGGACTGCTCTCATCCAAGAGTTCGGCACAAGAATGAAACAAAGTTCGGCTTGACATCCTCGGACAGACGGGCAGACGGAGCGGGCACATCAAACCGCTCAAATGATGCTTCGTACGCCCAAAGTGGTTTGGACCTTGGTCTGTGACAGCAGCCGCAGGCAATGAGCCCGATGGCCCTTCATTTGTGATCAACATTCCAGAGCATCTGATGGTCCATCCGGTCTTCCACGCCTCGAAGCTGGCAACATACATGCCCGCCAAGAGCGACGACTTTCCGGGCCGACGATCGCAGGACCCTCCTTCTATGGATGGCCATCAGGAAGTTGACCGCGTCATCACCGATCGCAAATACGGCAGCAAGCCGCAACAGTACAAAGTCACATTCAAAGCATGCAATCGCGACAACACTCGGTGGATTTCAGGAGCAGATTTGAAAGCATCCACACCGCTGATCTACGCTCACTATGAACGTCAAAGGTTAGCCAAGGGACCTCCACGACCTGCCCTTCCCACCCGGACTGTGGTCCCTCCCTCAGACAGACAGCTTTGCCCTCGCAGGTAAGCTCGGTCTTTCAAGGAGGGGGGGGTGTGGCAGACTGCGTAGCCACACGGTCCCTCTAGGACCGTCCAGGACATTCAGCCTAAAAGCCTTAAACTTAGGAGCTACAGGCCCTGGTCGTTTCAGCCTGAAAACTGAAAAACCAGGGCCTGCAGGCCCTACTCCGTTTCAGCCTATTTCTGGGTCTTTCAGACCCAGAGTTTTCCCAGCCTGAAACGGAGGGCTATTCTTAGGCCCTGGGCTATTTTTAGGCCCTCATTTGTTTCGACCTGCCCTAAGATTCAGGCACGAAAACTGGGTTTCGGAACAGGCTATTTATGGCCTGTTCCCACGCCAGCTCGAGCAGGAGATGCAGCTGCAGCCCCTGCCTCCCTTCGGCATTATTGGCAAGAGCAGCCTCCTGGACTGCTCGCCCGAGTCAGGAGGCACCTGTGATAGTACATAGGAGCTTCAGGCACTGAACGGGTAGGCAGTTGGAGAGTAGGACGGTAGTCTTCAGATTCCGGCCGCAGCACTCAGGAGGAGCGCTGCAGTAGTCTTCAGCGCTAGGCAGTAGTAGCAGCGCTAGCTGTAGTCTTCGGCGCTGGGCCCCATAGCCATAGCAGTAGTCTTCAGCGTTGGGCGCTGTAGGTGGTAGGTAGTAGAGTAGGGAGAGACACTGGCGGAGGCCAGTGGTACGTACCTGTGGCGCCATCGCTCCAGCTCCATCTTCGAGGTACCTGCATCAAGGCGCCAACTTCACAGGTTAGTACTGGAGAGAGAGAGAGAGAGAGAGAGAGAGAGAGTTCTTCTTCCTCTTCTTCTCAGTCCACCATCTCTTCTTCCCCTCTCACCACCTGCTTCTCAGTATGAGCGGACTACTACAGAGAGAGAGTTGTGACATGAGACTTGACGACATTGGATCCAGACTCGACATTGGGATTCAGACATTTTGACGAGGGACTATTTGGGCCTGTGCTGAACACTTGGTGTTGAAGACATTCCCATCTTCCCTTCTTCTTCGTCTAACCCCACCTCCTTCGTCTGTGTATGGTTGGGGCTGGCGCAGTCTTCTTGTGAAGCGGAAGACCCCTTCACACCATGATGATGATGATGTATGTTCGGGGCCGTATTACAATATTGATTGTTCGGATCATTGGTATCTAAGTCTTCCGCTGTGCTATCTTATACTTTGTATTGAAAGGTCGGTTCTTGTTCTGGTCTGCACCTATACGGTATGCAACAGTTTGGTATCGGAGCGGACCTCTCATTCAGAGGACCCGCTCAATCAAGTAGCAAGCTTGCTTGATCTAGTGATCACTCATTAGTATGATCACTCATTAGTAAATCAAGTAGGACTTCGTCAAATCTCTGAAATTTTTTTCTTGCAACAACTATCTGAAGATTTCTGATATTCGCATTTCGTTTTACCTGAAAATTTCTGATATTAGTATTTCGTTTTCACGTAGCAAATGTCTGAAAATTCC